AATGGAGAAAAGCATAAATCGTCCCTGGGTGGGCTTGTACCACCAACCTTTCAGTTAACAGCCGAACGCACTAACCGATTACGCCACAGAGACAACTATGAATTTATTTAAATTTTTGGTCTCCCTGGTTGGTGGAGCATAAGACTCTGGTGTTGCTCGAACTGAGAGGTAGGTGACAATAATTGAAAGGTTGCATGTCAGCCTGGCTAGCTCAGTCGGTAGAGCATGAGACTCTTAATCTCAGGGTCGTGGGTTCGAGCCCCACGTCGGGCGCATAATGTTTTCATCACTTTGTACAATTTCAATTCACTCAAAACTTTTCGATCAATGGACAAAAGCATAGATCGTGCCTGGGTGGGCTTAAACCACCAACCTTTCAATTAACAGCCGAACGCGCTAACCGTATGTGCCACAGAGACAACTATGAATTTATTTAATTTTTTGGTCTGCCTGGTTAGCTCAGTCGGTGGAGCATAAGTCTCTGGAGTTGCTCAAACTGAGAGGTAGGTGACAAAAAATGAAAGGTTGCATGTCAGCCTGGCTAGCTCAGTCGGTAGAGCATGAGACTCTTTGGTCGTGGGTTTAAGCCCCACGCTGGGCGCATAATGTTTTCATCACTTTCTACAATTTCAATTCACTCAAAACTTTTCGATCAATGGACAAAAGCATATATCATCCCTGGGTGGGCTTGAACCACCAACCTTTCAGTTAACAGCCGAACGCGCTAGCCGATTGCGCCACAGAGACAACTATGAATTTAATAAATTTTTTGGTCTGCCTGGTTAGCTCAGTCGGTGGAGCATAAGTCTCTGGAGTTGCTCAAACTGAGAGGTAGGTGACAATAAAGGAAAGGTTGCATGTCAGCCTGGCTAGCTCAGTCGGTAGAGCATGAGACTCTTAGGTCGTGGTTTCGAGCCCCACTTTGGGCGCATAATATTTTCATCACTTTCTACAATTTCTATTCACTCAAAACTTTTGGATCAATGGACAAAAGCATAGATCTTCCCTGGGTGGGCTTAAACCACCAACCTTTCAATTAACAGCCGAACGCGCTAACCGTATGTGCCACAGAGACAACTATGAATTTATTTAATTTTTTGGTCTGCCTGGTTAGCTCAGTCTGTGGAGCATAAGTCTCTGGAGTTGCTCGAACTTAGAGGTAGGTGACAATAAATGAAAGGTTGCATGTCAGCCTGGCTAGCTCAGTCGGTAGAGCATGAGACTCTTGGGTCGTGGGTTTGAGGCCCACGTTGGGCGCATAATGTTTTTATCACTTTCTACAATTTCAATTCACTCAAAACTTTTCGATCAATGGACAAAAGCATATATCGTCCCTGGGTGGGCTTGAACCACCAACCTTTCAATTAACAGCCGAACGCGCTAACCGATTGCGCCACAGAGACAACTATGAATTTAATTATTTTTTTGGTCTGCCTGGTTAGCTCAGTCGGTGGAGCATAAGTCTCTGGAGTTGCTCGAACTTAGAGGTAGGTGACAATAAATGAAAGGTTGCATATCAGCCTGGCAAGCTCAGTCGGTGGAGCATGAGACTCTTGGGTCGTGGGTTCGAGCCCCACGTTGGGCGCATAATGTTTTCATCACTTTCTACAATTTCAATTCACTGATTACTTTTCGATCAATGGACAAAAGCATAGATCGTCCCTGGGTGGGCTTGAACCACCAACCTTTCAGTCAACAGCCGAACGCGCTAACCGATTGCGCCACAGAGACAACTATGAAGTTTTTTAATTTTTTGGTCTGCCTGGTTAGCTCAGTCGGTGGAGCATAAGTCTCTGGAGTTGCTCGAACTGAGAGGTAGGTGACAATAAAGGAAAGGTTGCATGTCAGCCTGGCTAGCTCAGTCGGTAGAGCATGAGACTCATAATCTCAGGGTCGTGGGTTTGAGCACCACGTCGGGCGCATATTGTTTTCATCACTTTCTACAATTTCAATTCACTCAAAACTTTTCGATCAATGGACAAAAGCATAAATCGTCCATGGGTGGGCTTGAACCACCAACCTTTTAGTTAACAGCCGAACATGCTAACCGATTGCGCCACAGAGACAACTATGAATTAATTAAATTTTTTGGTCTGCCTGGTTAGCTCAGTCGGTGGAGCATAAGTCTCTGGAGTTGCTCTAACTTAGAGGTAGGTGACAATAAATGAAAGGTTGCATATCAGACTGGCTAGCTCAGTCGGTAGAGCATGAGACTCTTAATCTCAGGGTCGTGGGTTCGAGCCTCACGTTGGGCGCACAATGTTTTCATCACTTTCTACAATTTCAATTCACTCAAAACTTTTCGATCAATGGACAAAAGCATAGATCATCCCTGGGTGGGCTTGAACCACCAACCTTTCAGTTAACAGCCGAACGCGCTTACCGATTGCGCCACAGAGACAACTATGAATTTATTTAATTTTTTGGTCTGCCTGGTTAGCTCAGTCGGTGGAGCATAAGTCTCTGGAGTTGCTCAAACTGAGAGGTAGGTGACAAAAAATGAAAGGTTGCATGTCAGCCTGGCTAGCTCAGTCGGTAGAGCATGAGACTCTTTGGTCGTGGGTTCGAACCCCACGTCGGGCGCATATTGTTTTCATCACTTTCTACAATTTCAATTCACTCAAAACTTTTCGATCAATGGACAAAAGGATAAATCGTCCCTGGGTGGGCTTGAACCACCAACCTTTCAGTTAACAGCCGAACGCGCTAACCGATTGCGCCACAGAGACATCTATGAATGTAATTAAATTTTTGGTCTCCCTGGTTGGTGGAGCATAAGACTCTGGTGTTGCTCGAACTGAGAGGTAGGTGACAATAATTGAAAGGTTGCATGTCAGCCTGGCTAGCTCAGTCGGAAGAGCATGAGACTCTTGGGTCGTGGGTTTGAGCACCCTGTCGGGCGCATAATGTTTTCATCACTTTCTACAATTTCAATTCACTGATTACTTTTCGATCAATGGACAAAAGCATAGATCGTCCCTGGGTGGGCTTGAACCACCAACCTTTCAGTTAACAGCCGAACGCGCTAACCGTTTGCACCACAGAGACAACTATGAATTCATTAAATTTTTGGTCTGCCTGGTTAGCTCAGTCGGTGGAGCATAAGTCTCTGGAGTTGCTCAAACTGAGAGGTAGGTGACAATAAATGAAAGGTTCCATGTCAGCCTGGCTAGCTCAGTCGGTAGAGCATGAGACTCTTGGGTCGTGGGTTCGAGGCCCACGTTGGGCGCATAATGTTTTTATCACTTTCTACAATTTCAATTCACTCAAAACTTTTCGATCAATGGACAAAAGCATATATCGTCCCTGGGTGGGCTTGAACCACCAACTTTTCAGTTAACAGCCGAACGCGCTAACCGTTTGCGCCACAGAGACAACTATGAATTCATTAAATTTTTGGTCTGCCTGGTTAGCTCAGTCGGTGGAGCA